AAGTGCTTCACCTACTCTACGTCTCACGTATTTTCTACCATTACTACCAAAGAGCGATATTTTACTCTCATCGCTCCAGATTACTTGCTTCCATTAATTTTCTGACCATTTAATGTGTTCTTTTGCCCACTTAACTCGTTTCTCGCGTTGCTTTTGATTTAAATATGGTTTTTTCCTTGGAATTCTAGCTTGTAGTCCAAATCCTGATAAGCTTCTTCTTATTGTTCTTGAACTTACTGCAATACCAGTTGTATTCATTCCACATCTAATGGCATGTGATGACATTTTTCTATCTTGAAGGCATAGCCATTTAATTTTTCTATCGGTAGTAGCACTCGTGCATTTTTTTCGGCCTGATTTGGCATCCTGAATGCCAAAAAATACATCGAAACTGTCCTGAAACCAAAATTGATACCTTCCATCAGGGATCTCTTCCCCAACAACGAACCATTTTTTTTCCAGCTGGATTCAGCTCCATGCCACACAGCAAAAGTATGCAAAGCATGCTTTCAAAATAGAGATATATTACCATGGCCAGGAAACAGCCCTGATCTCAATCCAATTGAAAATGTGTGGCGACGTTTGAAAATTCTTGTACGAAAAAAACGTCCATCCAATAAAAGACAACTAACTGAAGCTATAATTGATTCTTGGCACCATATGATTATGAAAGATGAATTTCAAACACTCGTTCACTCAATGAAAAGAAGCTGTGAAGCTGTCTTAAAAATTAAGGGTTATCCTACTAAGTATTGATTGTGTAAGTATCACTTTAAAAAAATGCAAATCTAAGATGGATCGTAATACAGATATTGTAATACTGTATTTATTACTAAATTCTACATTAAATTACCTTCAATTTGATATATAAACGTTTGTATTTAAGTGAAAATTAATATATTCTACAAGCACACAAAGTTGAAAAACATGAAACTTTCAAAAAGTGTCCACACTTTTGGCCACCACTGTATATATAGAGTTCAGTTTTCTTTCTGTCCTTTTTGTATTTATCTATTTTGCTTTATATATCCATCTATTTTGCTACACAGCCGACTGGCCTGTTTAGGGGGCAGGGAACTGCCCTTGCATCAGAAAGGTTCTGGGTTCGAATCTCGGGCAAGGCATGGATGTTCTTTCCTTTTCTCTGTACTATCTGTCCTTACTGTGGGAGCGACATTGGCCCACCTAATATGGTGCCCCTGTAAGAGAGGTCAACAAAATCGCCCTGTATATACCTGAATTGAAGGATATTAACACAGGTGGGCATTGGATTTGCTATACATATATATATATATATATAGAGAGAGAGAGAGAGAAAGAGTCTGTATAGATAAAATCTGTCTTATGTTCTTTTCATTTAAAGATATTTTAACTTAGTGAAATATAAGGTTTGAATTAATGACTGTTTTTCTTTTTTAGATATGTATACTCCTCTAATGGCAGTATGTGCATCTAGAAAGACTGAGCAGGATTTACTAAAGTGTTGCATTTTATTATTACAATATGGTGCTAATGTAAATGAACATGAAAGGTTAGTTGTTAATTGCTTTTTTCTTTTTTTAAAAGAAAATCTTTTTAGTTAAACTGGTTTGTTGAATCTACACAATAGTCTACATTCATCACAATTTACAGACATTAAACTTATGCTGCTTTTCAAACAATATCTCAATTTGAAAGCTCTACCTGGGTGAAAAATTTACTTTTACCCCCATGAAAATGTCTGATTTGATGCAAGAGTAAGAAATCTTTCTTAACCCTAGTGGCTATTGCATCTGCTTTGTAGCTTGTTCTATAATTGGCTTAATCTCTTTGTTTACTCTTAATCTCTCTTTTTATTTTTATTTTCTCTAAACAGACTATATCTATTGCTTAAAAAAAAATAACTTACATATTTTTCAAAATTGGGTTGTTTTTAAATTTGCTGACAAAGTATGTATTTTTATTTGACAAACGAATGAAAACATATATTTATTAGTCTAAATGCTATGAGCTTATTAATAACTATTATCAAGTGAATACAAACAAAAGAAATGCTATGTTATGTATGCAAGCAAAAGAAAAAAAATGTGAAAATTTCCTTTTTTTTGTAACTTTTTAACTGTTTGCTTGTTTTTTTTTAAATTCACTGCAATGTTTCTCATATTTTGAATCTGAGCAATCTATCTACCATTTATATTATTTTTATTTTTTGCAATGGCAATATATTTTAGATCTTAAATTCAAATCTAGTTCTGCACAAATGATGCATCGATTTACAAAAAAATATTATTCATACTTAAATGAGAGTTTAGAATTGTATAACAGTTGAGTCCTGTTAAATCTGTGGTCAATGAGGGCAAGTTATCATTTTAAACCATTTTCTATCAATAATATTAAGAACAACACTTAATGCAGCACTCTATGAAAAATGCCCATAATAGTCTTTGAGTTTCTGTGTAATTATTTAGACAACCATCGAAATAAAAGTTTTTGTTATTTTTTTCCCCAAGCCATTTAACTTCCTATATTCAAGAGTATGAGTGATCATTAATAAAAGAAATGGTAGAAAACACTAAGTTGATAAAATTATGAGCATTCAGTTTCCTTACATTTGATGGCAAAATGGACTAATTTATATCTATATACAAAAAATGTTTTTTTTTTTGAAAACATGTTTACAAACTATTTATTTCCCCCTTTTTTTTTAAAAAAAAAAGAAAAGGTAAAAGTACTTCATTTTCTATACAAAGGATCCTTAACTCAAAATATAAATTTTTAATCAATTAATCAATATGTTGAAGATATATTGATCCTTGAAGATTGCAGTAAGGAGAGAACTTGGTAGCATGAACAAAATAAGAGTTGAAACAACTTAAATGTTTTTGATCTAATGATTCAGTTGTCTTTTTAAGATGCAATCTTAATGCTTTGAAAGGCTAATCTCAAATATGCTATTTTCTTTTTCAGAAGATATTTTAAGTTTTGAAATCAATCACAAAAATGTGTTTCTCTGAATAAACATACCATTTTTTCAACAGATTTGTATTATTGACCCTTAAATTATGAGAGGTGGCTACTGTAAAATATGGTTCCAATACTGTGATTCAAAAGTGTGGTTGAAAGTTTGGAACCTTTAAAGATAATTTCAGTTCTTGCAAATCATGCCTGGGTTTAAAACTTTCTAAGAATATATAAATCATTCTATAAGAATATCTCTAAAATTTTAAAACTCATTTTTCTAAAGATAATTTATTGTAAAAAATATCTATATTTATTATTATTATTTTATTTTATTATATCATTGACTAATTCCTGACTTGTAATGCATACAAATAATTCCATACTTTTAAATTGTGTTGTTTAGCTGAAAAAATCAAAGATTTTAAAAGAACTGGTTTCATAACTTTTGAGAAATGAAAATTTAAAAATATGACTCTTTTGAAATTCCATTACTAAGAAATTTTTTTGACTGATTTCATTTATATCTTGTATTTTATCAATTAAAGTAAAGTGATAACTTAATACTTTATCAATTCACATTTTTTACTATTATTAAAAAATTATTAGGAATTAAAAAGAATATTTAAATATTATACTTTGCATGGAAAAGCAAAGTTTATAAAAAAAAATGTGAAGGTCTTTTTATTTGCTTAAATAGTTTCAGAAATATAGTGAAATTCAAATTTATATTAATGGGCTCATATTTTTAACCTCTATCCTGCCTAAACTATAGGGAGAATATTTACCGAATTGTTGCTACCCCTCAAAAAAGATCTGTCGAAAGAAATTCTCTTTATACAGTGAAAAGAAGTTTTTTCTCTGATTTTGTAGCATTAAATATTGTTTGCACTAATTAACACACTTAAAGTTGCCCTCTTGAACCAATGAAATAGTATCATAATATTTAAAAACTTGATTATTAAATCAAAAGTTTAAGTGTTCTGTTTTGTACACCATTCATTTTTGTGTATTTCATTGCACTAAATTAGACTTGCAATATTTAAATGTTTATTTTAGTTTATTATGTCAACACTTCTGTGTTATACATGCAATGCTATTTTACTTTTAGGCATCTTACAACTCCATTAATGTTCGCCGCCAGAGAAGGTTATATTAGTATAGTTAAAGAGCTTCTGAACCATGGTGCAGAAGTAAACTCACAAGATAATAGTGGCAAAACCGTAAGTAAAGAAATAGTAAATACGAAATCATAAGTCTTGTATTTACGGTTGTATTTTGTATTACCGTAAATACAAAAGTTACCGTCAATATAAAAGTGGTAATAATCACACTTTTGTATTAGATTTTGAGCTATACATTAAAATTTAAAAGTTTGTTTATTTAGATTTAACTCAAAAGTTGAAATTTTTATAATAACTTTGACATAGTTTAGCTTTTAGTGGCGTAAATAGTAGTCTCGGAACCCCTCTGGGGGGTACATGAGGTTGCATGGTCCTGAAAAATTAGTGCTAATAAAAGCATTATTTATTTATATGTTATCTTTTAAATTCACTTTATAAATAATAGACGCCTGATGGCTGAGTGGTAGCACTCCGTGCTCCCGTGTCACAGGTCCTGGGTTCGATCCTCGGGCCAGGCAAGGTTGACTCAGCCTTTCATCCCTTCAGTGGGTCGATAAATGAGTACCAAGCATGCTTGGGACTAAACACTGGGGGTTCTGCGTTTGGCTGACCACCTGACCGGAACATCTGCTCTTGCACCTCAGAGCCCAAGGTCAAGAAAACTGAGATGGGCCAGTAGGCCTTGGCCCTCTATGGGCTGTCGCACCACTGAGTTTAGTTTAGTTTATAAGTAATAGCCAAATTAAACTTTGAATAAAATTATTGTAAGATAGTGAGTTATTCTTTCTTATCAAAATTAGTTTCATTTCAAGTGGTAATTGTATACAACGTTTTAATTCAGTGCTTTTTCTAAAGTCTTCCTTTTCATTGCAATTATGATTTTTATTTTCTTAAAGTAAATTAATGATTTTAAATAAATGTATGCCTTTTCGTCATAGTGTTGTTGTTTCACAATATAATTTAAAACTTTTTGTGATATGTTTCAGATAGGGCACGCCTATAAATCTTGCTTAGGGACACACTTAAATCTGTGCATACCACTTTTAGTTTTGATGTAAAGTGCTGTATAAGTAGATTTTTTTTTATTTAATTAGATTATATTTATTAATTTATGTAATAAAATTCGTAGAGGATTTGACCAACAATAATTATTCTGTCTAAGTTAGAACTTAGCTACTTATTTGCTTAATTATTATACTCACTCTTTACAGAAAAGTTAAAAAAATTTTTAAATATATGTATCGGTTTTCATTAATTGCTTTTAGATGGAACAAAGTGACTAAGTAAAATAAATTTTGAATTCCTCACTTGCTATAAATGTATTATACAAAAGCTGGAAAATATGTTTTACATATTCTTATTTCTTTAAAACACTAACCATAATTTATGTATATATATATATATATTTTTAACTATCTAATGATGTATATCTTATTATTTTAATTAGACAGAAGAACAATTTAATTTGCAATCGGACAAGATTAAATTACGAAGGAGACTGTATAGTAGAGAGCAAATTTTTTTATGCAATTACTATGTCATTAAAAATAATTTCAAATTCTATTCATGTCTAATGATGCCTGGTGTTGCAGAGCAGTAGCGCTTCACGCTGTCGTGCCACAGGTCCCTGGTTCGATCCTCGGTCCGGGCAAGGCTGACTCAGCCTTTCATCCCTTCAGTGGGTCGATAAATGAGTACCAAGCATGCTTGGGAACTAAACACTGGGGGTTCCACGTTCGACTGACCACCTGACCGGAACATCTGCTCCTGCACCCGAGAGCCCAAGGTCAAGAAAACTGAGATGGGCACAGTAGGCCTTGGCCCGCAAGGGCTGTCGCACCGCTGAGTTTAGTTTAGTTTTATTCATGTCTAAAATGTTCTGCCATCTAAAAATAATTGAATTTTAGAAGTAGTTTGGTTTTTGAAAATTTGATGACATCCTCATAAGGGAAATAAGGAAATTTTATAAAATAATTCCTTTATTGTTACAGGTTTTGATGAATTTTTCTTTAAGACTAATATTGACTACAAATTTTATTCTAGAAATTGCCAAATAATTCTTTTTCGATTTTTATCCCATGTGTTGTTTTTAATAGAAAATCAAATCATTTTTGGAGAAACTAATTTTAAATTTATTTGTAAGAACAAAAATAGTAGTAAAAGGAGAAATTGTGTTTCTTTTTTTTAATGCATAATTATTAATTGGTATAATATAACATAGACAATACCTTTTTTTCTTCCTTTTTATCATAGTATGCCCAAGGGAGCAACATAAAAGTCTTATAATTTTATTAAAAGGTTTGAAATTTTTAATGAGGTAGCATATTATTTAGGCACTATTGTGGGCAGCATCTTATGGCCATGGACAAATTATCAGGCTTCTTCTTCAGAATAATGCTGATAAAAACATATGTGACAACATGGGGCAAACACCAGAAGATATAGCTTATGGAAATGGATATAAAGAGGTATAGAATATTATTATATCATAAATTATGTTTTGTTGAAAAAAAGTTTTTAAATTTTTCTTTTAATTATGAAATTCATGTAATATGCTTGTTTTTTGTTTCAGTCAGTCTTTTTCTGAGAAATATTTTTAATGTAATTTTTAAAAAATTGCAATGTAAACTTTATTAAAGAAAGTAATTATTTCTTTATTGTAAACCTTTACGTAGCTGGTACGTAAGTTCTTGTTGGGAGCTGAAACCTAACAAATATTTAATATCTTATTATTTCTTTAATAATCTAATTATAAATATAAGACCTTTGTTTGCTCAAAATCTAAGAAAAGCAAATTATTCTAATATTTTTTTTGCTTTTTTCTAACTTTTGAGATTCAGAATTATTAAGGAGAGTTTAACTGATTAAATTCATATAAGTTCAATCGACTAATGTGTCTTGTTTATTCATTAATCTTCAAGCAATATTTTTGCTTATTTATTTTATTTGGTGATGGTGTTCGACAGTCTCACTGACATATTAGTCTTGTTTACTAATGGAACATTTACTAATTTTTAAAATTGACAAGTTTATTTATTTATTTTTAGTTGGTTTCGCTTATTCAGAAAGGTCCCATTGGCCTAACCGTCTTAGATGCTGAAGAATCTTTAGATGAAATAACTAAAACAACAAATAAGTCTATCGAAGCAACTATGATGTAAGATAATTTTTTTTTACTCTACATTTATTTAAAACTTGATGTATGGAGAGAGACTTAAAAAAAAACATTAGCTAATTATTTATAAATTCTATATACAATTTTATGTACAATATTTGTAAATTTCAGAGTTAGTAAACCAAAGAATTTCTCAAAAGTCGGTGAGTTGGAACTGTTTTTGAGTGGTATAGGATGTTCCACTCTTGTAAAGAAATTTCAAGAACATGATTTGAATTTTCATGATATGTTGGTCATGAATGAAGAAGAGCTTGAAAAGGTAAATTTTATTTCTTTGTTACTTGCAATATGTAATTTTTTTTCACTTTTTTATAAATGAATCTACAATTAAATTAAAATAATTTTGATTATGAGATTAAATTTTTAATCAGTTGCCTATGATTATTTGAAATATTTTTATATTATTTATTTTCCATCTATGGAATTTACATTGAAATGCAGTTGAGCACTGATTGGCTCAATTTTTAATGCAAATAGAAAATATGAAATTCTTCATACTAATATCGTGGGAATTAAGTTTTTTAAGATTTATGTATTATTTTGTCCATGTCATGTCACCAAAAATCTCCATGTGTCCATAAATCAATTACTATATAGGTCTATATTACTGATTTAAAAGTTAAGTTACTGATTTAAAGTTAAGATAAACTAAACTGTTTATCTTAGCTTTAAATCAGTAACTTAACTTGAAGTTAGCAGTTAAACACTGATTGTGCCTTAAAACAAATAGGACAGGTATCTTAATTTGTTTAAGGCACTTGGGAATAAAATTAAATGTTTCGAGAACATTTCCTTTTTAAAATTTCCTGTGCCTTTTCCCTCTTTCAATGTTGAGGTGCATAAGTGTACTAAAATAAGTTATGTTTAGTTTTTTTTTGTTTATAATAATTAGTTTTTAACCAATATAGATAGTTTTTCTCTTCAAGTTTGTTGTAATTATCATACATATAGTAGACTATGGGTTATTTCTGATTTCTTCCTACTCATTTTTTTTTCTTTTTAAGTTACTACTCGAACAATAATTTAGATCAAAACTCTAATGCAAATTACTTAATTACCAATCACATTATTTTAAATCATGTTTTTTTTCCCTTTTAATATTTCAGATTATTAAAATGAAATATTCATATCTGTAATAAACTCTTCTAATATAGTAATGTATAATCGAAGTCAGCTAATTTTAGTTCTGATTTAATGACATCCTGGTAATTAAAAAAAACAACAAACAATTAAAGCAGGAAAAAACGATTAAAATAAAAGATATATGTGTTGGCAAGACAGCACTTCATCGGGGGACACACTGCTTGCCAACACACTGGAGCCATTCTGTTATCAGTGGAAAAACCAAAATTGACATTGTCCCGAGGCCCCATAATGGATACACAAATAAGAGAAAATAATTATAAGAATTGAAAAGTACAGAAAAATAATGAACCAGCAAACACAACTCAAAAGTATACATATTAAGACTTAAAAAAGATACACCCACTTATAAATAAAAATAGTTACAGTTAGAATAACCAAATCAAAATTAAATATAAATTGCCAAATCAGTAGGAAAATATTATAAATAAATTAAGTGCTGACCCCTATTTGAAAATCTTGAAAAATGAAACAAAAAGATATTTAATGAATTATTATTATTTTTTTTTAAAGTGCTGTCATCTGCTTTCGAAGTAGCACTTTTCCACTTTGATTTAATGTTTTAATTGTTAATTTACTTTTTGTCTTTATCTGTATTTGTAAATTAGATTAGTTTTCTGATTAGATTTCTTATTTTCATATCTGGATTTGCTGCATTTGCGCAATCTCGTTTGGAAATTATTATGTTATTTAATTTAATAGTTTATGTTATTCATCAAAGACAGATAGAAAAGCTCTTTTCCATTTTGATTTAATGTTTTAATTGTTAATTAACTTTTTTGTCTTTTTCTGTATTTTTAAATTGATTCATTTTCTGATTAAGGAGATCCTGGTCATAGCTAGAAAGTTTTCCCAAATGATTATTTTAATTTTAAAAGGCTTACATGAAATTCTGTTATTAAACAACTCTGCTAATATATAATGAGAAACAGATGAATAATGGATAAATGATTTTAAGCTTCTGTAAAATTTTGTTTAAGTTCTCGGAAGAAATATTCGTCTTTTGAAAATTTCATTCCCTTTAAAAGTGTTTAAAACCCCTCTTTATATCAAATTGTTAAAAAAAATTAAGTAAATATACAATGAAGATCTACAATGTTAAGTCTTTTATCTGTTCTGTCTTAAATGAAAAAATAATAACATAGCAAAAGATGAATTACAAATTGTATGTGGTAATTATTATTAGTTAATGGATTCTACCTCTTGTTGCTTATGTGTCTGCTTGTTTTCTCCTGTATAAATTTTTGTGAATCATATGTCCAATCTGCTCCACATTTAATAAACACACAACTTTGATAATAGATAAATGGGAAATTAGAGTTCTTCCAGTCAATGAAAAAAGATGGAATTTTTTTACTTAAAAGAATATATTGATTGGTATTTAATAAAATGGTTTTATTGCTCAATGACGTGTTGCTTTATATATCAACATTGTTAGAGATAATGTTTTAAGTGCCCCGAGTGTTGTAAAATAAATAGTTTTGGGAAAGCTCACACATCCCTTCCAGATAAATGAAAAAACATTTAACTTATTTTTAACTCTTACAGTTGAAATATTTTTATTGCTTAATATGATTATTAATTAAGTTAATATGGATTAAAATTGATGTCCAGTATAATAGATACCAGGTTCAAAGGAGTTAAGCATTTTTCAGTAAATTTTTATTTGTTAAAACTTTGAATTTTGGTATGTGCAAATTGTCCTTTCCGTTACAGATCATTTTCATTATCCTAATAAAAATTTGACTTAACGTTAAAGGAGAAGAGAAAATGGTAAAAAAAAAAAAATTAATATGTTGTTTGAATGTGTCTATCTAATTCTGATTTTATTATTTTTGTTTTAGATTGGTATTGCCCAGGTTGGAGTTCGCAAGAAAATTTTAGAAGCTTGTAAATCAGTTCACAAAAAAGAGTGGGAACATTCCAGTTTACCAAATTTGAAACAAAAACAGTATATCAGGTATATATTTTTAAAGTTAATTTCAAATTTTTTTAATATATAAAGATTTTAAATTTGCAAACTATTCATTTTAAAATTCCCTCCCAGAAACAATTACGGATTGTGTCACTAGGTTTAGTTCACTATCAAAATTTTGGATTTCAACTTTTTTTGAACTGTGCCCATTTTCTAAAACATCATGCATTTCGAGCAGTGTCCATTTTCTTAAACACTTATTTAAAGCTGTGTCCATTTTCCTAAACACACATTTCAAGTTATGTTTATTTTCTTAAACACTCATTTAAAGCTATGTCCATTTTCTTTAGTACACAATCAAGCTATGTTCATTTTCTTAACCACACATTTCAGCTTTGTCAATTTTCTAGAACGCATATTTTGAGCTATGTCCAAAATAAAAAACTAACTGAATTCAGTATGATTTGCAGTAGTGTATATATTTAGCATAGGAAGTGTTAATTTAATTACATAATGAACTTTTATCATATTTTATAAGATCTTTACATTATTTAAAATTAGGTTTTATTATACGGCTTTATGTAAAATATTGAGAATGTAAAGAAATTAGTCGTTTTGATTTTTTAGGAAATTCTTTAAATTAATTTTTTTCCTATTCTTGTCTTTTAGTTTTAATTTATTTATAAATAATGTGTAAAAATGTTTATAAATTATTACTTTTATTTAAACTAAAATAATACAATAATAAAAAGTTTAGAAAATTGTTTAAATGTTTGATCTATCTTTTTGAAAAAGAAATTTTATTTCTTCTGATGTTTTTTTTTCTGCTGTGGATGAAACTTGTCAACTCTAGTATAAAATGAAAAATTTATAAATAAATACACAGATATAAAAAAAAAGTTATATACTCTTAAATTAAATGGAATATTTCAAATTTTTATTAAATAAAGTGAAATTCAAAATTTTTAATAAAACCTAGTGTTTTAACGACCTCAAACAGTTTCATCATTTAACAAAATTAAATTTATTCTAACATAACAACCTGTTTTTTTTTAAAGTTTTTTTTAAAAGGTTTTTTTTTCCTGATATTTTATTAGTAACTTTTACTAAACCGAGTATTAAAACTTAAATAGTTTCAATGCTTAAAAGTGTTTAATAATTAAAACATAACTGTTTCCGTGTTTTAAAAATTCATATTTAATTTTAAGAAAGCTAAGCGTTTGAACCATCTTGAATTGTCTCAATGTTTAACAAAATTTACTTATCAAACCCACTGGCTGTTTTTTTCCCCAGTGATATTTTGAAATTTACTAAACTTAGACTAATCTTTTCTCTCCTAATTTTAGCTGTCCTGATGCTGTTGCAATGATGGCTAATGTTTCTGCACATCTTAAGTTTATTGCAACTTCTGTCAAATATGTTCGTCAACAGATTCAATCTCAACCAAGAATTTTAGAATTAGCTCAAGTAAGTGTTTTGATCATTAGAATAATGAATTCATTTTCATTATTGCTCATATTGCCCACATCTGAAAATTTTATCAAATTTCCATTGAGAAGCAACACACTTCCTCTGAATTCTAGTGATTATTTGATGCATTGGATTTATTTAATTAGCTTAAATGTTGCATAATATTGGTGTTACATGATATCAGATATTGATAGAACATCTTTTTGACAGAGTTACTATCTTATATTTTTACTGCATAGTTATTTTGCTCTGCACTTGCCTATGGATTAATGAGCTTCAGCTGTTGTTTAGTTTAATATTGGTGTTACACAGTATCAGAATAGAATAACATCTTTTTAAAAGAGTTACTCTCTTATACTTTTACTGCATTGTTATTTTGCTCGGCTCTTGGCTATGGATTAATGAGCTTCAGCTACTACTTTTAACATAATATTTTTATAGGCATATTTTTTTAAACCTAAAATTATGTAATATATAGAGCAAAATACATATATAGAGCTGGATTGCTTTTGCTTAGAGATAGACTGGACTAAGAGAGTTTTTAGTGTAAGAAATATTATTAAATGATGTTCAATTGCTTTTGATGTCATTGAATTTTGATTTCAATAATGGGGTGTCAAAAAAGGGAAATAAGGCTGCATGGTAGAAGTCAACAAAATGCTTGGTTCTTTTTAAGTGAGCAGCAAGATTTTTAAAACTAGTCAATGAAATTTTCTTTTGTATGGAGGAGGAAAAAATTGGCCAGTAGGTCAGGGTGATGTATCGTCATGCTAACATTGCGATGCTTCAGTACATTAATGTTTTACATTTAGTACTGCGCAATTAGTAAGTTGCATTTTTTAAAAATAAAGTTTCATTATTTCAAAATAATTATTTCTCAATATTTAAAGATGTGAATGTCTGCAAAATAGTGGTTAAAAACATTAAATGCCTGAATTGATGTTTTTTAAAAAAAAATCAACAGGATTTGCACATACACAATTTAAAGAAAACCCTTCCATAACTTAAAGATTCAACAACACATCGATTCTTAATAACATTTGCATTCATCATGTCAGCAAAACGATGAGTCACCATGTAAAAAAAATAGGGAAAGATAACATTCATTGTCACAGCTATCACTGCACACTTACAGAGGAAAATGCTTTTTGCGCGAGCTTGCAGACATCGATGTACTATCAGGAACAATGCTCAACTTCGCGCGGGTAGACAACGATACATCGGAAAATATAGGTCACACCTCAGAAAATCACGATTTCCGATGCTTCGAAAAATTGCCAATCCAAGCATCAGATTGGTGAGGATTGCATAGAATCGATATTTTCTAATGCATCGATTTATCACCCATGTGGTGTGTTGTAACTTAATAAACAGTAAGTGATTACAGATGAAGGGAAAATGATAAACATTTTCACCTTTTATTAGTGATAATACCAATCGTCTTTCATTTTGCTCTTCTTCATATAAAATTGTTCACTTAAAACTATAGTAAAATGTATTTTCGTTAAAAAAATTGTTGCAATAGGGGGAAGCTGGTATGTTTCAGATCATTATAAACATACAATTTTTGTATCTGTAATATTGGCATTTTAATGATGACATGAAAACTTGTAATAGAGGACTTCTTTTATAATATGTTAGGCTCATTATATCGCTCTTTCGTTGCATTAAAATTTATTTTGTCCATTTCAAAGCTGTTAAGTTATAATTGATCAAAAGTTACCATTTTTACCTTGAATATATTGTCAAGTTTTGTTCATCTTGGTTATTGTTTCAACATTATTGGTTGCTAAAGGTTTCTGCGATTTAAGATGTTTCTTCTTAATCAGAAACTTCAATATTTGCTTCGGCAACAATTTAATAAATGAGAAGTCTATCGAGAAATGGTTTGAAATTTATTATTTTTTAAACATATTAAAAAAAAAATTTCTCCAATTGTATTCAATATTGTGCATTTAAGGAAATATTTAAAAAAATTTTGGAGCAAATTTACATTTTCAATAAAACTTCCACAACAGAAGCAAAATCGGCAGAATTTTACGAACTCTAACTTTATAGGGAAAAAATTGGGAGCGTCGTTTTGAGTATCTTCTTTTATTATATGCTGTGAATAAGATAATTTAATAATTGCTTTATTAACATTTTAGTATACTAATATAAGAAATATTTCTTAAATATCCATACCAATTTTCGCAATAAAAAAATGAAGTAAAAAATAAAAACTTACATAGCTAAATTCGACAAGATTTGCATTCCCCCTTGGTGATATTTCCCTAGTAGTAATATAACTATGTGTATTGCTGTAACGTAACTCTTGTTTTAAAACTAAAAATTAACTGTTTTTTTTTTTAAAAAATTTATTATTGTATAATTTTATATATAACCATTGTTAACATACTATTGTCCTTACATTGTGTTCTTTTAAAACTTATTATTCTCATCTTCAAATTTGTTTTGTTCAGGATTCTGCAAATGTGTTTGATCTTATCGATGAACTGAAAGATGGTCTAAAGAATGTCCACTTCTTAAATGAGGAAATAAGATTTCTAAAATTGCATTTAGAAAGAGTAAGTATTATTTTGCAGTATGAAGATTTTTCTTTTTATACTCAAAATGAAAGTTTATTGATGGGAAATTTAGTTACACAATCAGTTCACCTTTCTTTTTATTGTTTATTTTTTAACCTTTGTGAAGTTTCAATATCTGCAAAATTTTATATTTTTTATTTCTTAATCAATGCATTTTTAATTTTTAGCAATAAAGCTAACAATTAAGATTGAGTATAAAGATTTGTGGATTAGCACAATAGTTTATAACAAAACACTTTTCATTTTTGTTCAGAAAAAAATTGTTAAGTGTAAAATATTTTTATTTTTGGAAGGACATATCTAATCTCAGTACTACCTCAATCCGTTATTATACTTCTAAAACAGATTTTGTACAAAATCTTTTGAAATTAGTTTAAAAAAGTTAAATTAATAATATTTTTATTATGTTATTTTTGTTCCAGGAGCATGTTAAAATAACTGTCATTTTTGGCAGGCCCATTTCTTCTTATTAAATCTGTACTAATGAATACTTTTAAATACATTTTCTTGCGCTAATACCTTGAATTACCTATTTATGGTCAAAATTTGAATAAAATATTTTTGTAGTTTTTTTCCCTACACTGTAACACAAAAATCTATTTAGATTACATATTTTCCCCCCTCTATTTTTCATTGAATCAATTGCCCCGAAAATGACTGACATTTTTAAAAATCAAATTTCATAGAAATGAAAGTGTACAGCTTATTGCATTCTGCTTAGAAAATTAGGTAATTCATTCCCTCTTAGTTTTAAAATTAATTAGAAAGCCTGTCGACTGATGACGCTGTTAACAAAATTTTTGAGGTATAGTCTGAAGACAAAGTTAAGAACTATGCTAACATTTTAATTAATTTGGCTTGTGTCAGATATAACATTGTTTGATATAGTAGTTTTTCCAATCACCAGTGCTATATGATGACAAGCTTGTTAACTAATTTTAAAACTGGGAGTAAATAAAACTTGGTTTCCTAAGCAAAGGGTAACTCTCTTTCAGCTTCTTTGATTTTTCAAATCAGAACTTTTTGGAGCAATTGATATATTTTAAAAGAATAAATAACTTGTTCATTGTATTATGGTAATCTTTTCTTGTAGGTTCAGGGTCAAGTTGAATATATTCCTGCCGATTTAATTGTTGAAACTGTACCTACACCATCTAGTCAAAGAAAAGTACTTTTTATCTCTCTTTCTGTAGCAGTGACTACTTTCATAGGAATTTTTGCTGGAATATTGTGGAAGAACCCCAGTTCTTTGTCTTCTATTCCTATAAAATTAAAATTACCTTTTCTTAAATAAGAAAACCTTTCTTTAGTAGAAATCATTGTTTAATTCCAGTTATGACATCATCACATTCATGTTTAGAAGTCTATTTTTATTAATAAAGTTTAATTTTCTTTGCATTGAGTGTTAATTTATTTTTTATGGTTGCATAATTTTAATTTATAATATATACAATATTTTATGTTAAATATAATAAATAATAAAATGCAATAAAATATATACAACATTTTATGCCATAATAATTACTGTCAAGTGCTGAAAGAACATTTAAATTTTCTGTGAATTAAGTACTTGTAAAATACAAAAAAGTAATGCTTGCTAATAATTCTTACTGCAATGTTAAGAAAACAAGACATTTATAAGAGATTCTTACAATACTCAAGGAAACTATGACATAAAAATCAAAGATGAACCAAATATAAATTTCGAAATGTTCATGGTTATATAAAATCTAGTCAACAAATTACCTTTTTTGTTTAACAAGTGTAGGTTTAAATAACTACAAATATACAATAAATGTAATTAAATCATTAGAATGCATGATCTCAAAATTATCATTTATCTTTCCTTATTATTGTTAAACAATTCTTAAATTTTAATTAAGAAGAAAGTTAAAACTAATTTCTTAGAGCTTTAAAGAAAATTTTATCATAGTATCATCACATAAAACAATTCTTAACATTGTGTTAATAACATATCAGTAACACAAATTTAAGTAAAAGAATTTATGCCCATTTGTTAAAATATTTTATATAATTACTCCATAAATACATCCTTATTTATTTTCACTAAATTTTTATCAATCCATAGCTAAAATTTTATTATATAAAACCCATCTTACATGCCATAGAGTTTACTTATAAGGTTCTTGTTAGTGATAAGCATGGGTTGTTGCCTTTTCCAGGATGCGTAGCCAGATTTTTCAGCAAAAAATAAGCACTAAAAAAATAATCATTTTCCAAAAAAAAAAAAAAATCATAATTAGGATCTGTGCAGTAATAAAAATTATTTTTCTATAATTTAAAGTTCTTAATTTATAAACATAAAATTCAAAAAAGTTTACTTAATCATGGTAAAATAACTAATTTCTGATAAATATTGCAGAGAAAATCATGCAATGTTTGTAATTTCGAATGACAATCGACACAGCAAAGAAAAAATCTATTTTTAAAAGATAGGAAATTGAGCACTTTTTACAAACCTCTAAAAAGAAAAGCATTTTTAAGGACTTTGAAAAAATCTAAATCAAAAATAAGCACTTATTTAAAATGCTATGCACCCTGTTTTCCTATATGGGCTCCTGGCTTGAGTAGGAGTTAAAAAATTCCTTCTAAAACTTTTTAATAACAGTAATATGAAACATTTTTCTTACCAGAGACATTATAGCTAATTAAAAGGAAATCTACTACACAAACTAATTCAATAGAACTTTAAAAATAAATAATATTTGTACACATAGAGTGTAATAATATTTATAGTAAATTAACATTTCAATATCTTTTAAAATTTTAAAAACACCTACAAAGCATGGCAGGTATATTTTTGAAGTATTAATTAATCTATTATATAAATATAACAGATTAAATTATTCTAAAGCAGTTAAATGTTGTCAAATACTTTGAATATTTTTTTTCAGTTTTGCTTAAGAATTACACAAGCATTGAAATATCTGTTACATTGATTAACCCCTTGCATTATTTTCACGAGTCTGACTCGTGATGAAAATTTTAGGCCAAACTTAAATACCACGAGTCAGGCTCGTTTAATTTCATGTCAAACGTGAATGTCATTAGTCTGGCTCGTAATCGACATTTCGGGCCAAATATGAATATCACGAGCCATACTTGTCTTAAGCTCAGGCTAAACAAGAACTTCTGAATGGGCTCTTATTTCTTTATATGAATATGTATTTTATATCTTGTCTCCTAATGTAGTTTATGTGCTACTTAGGATACATTGTTGTAGTCCAGATAATATTTGAAAACTATCTAAGTAAACATAAGCATTTCACGAGACCCAAAAAGCTTCAGCTCTTACTATTCAATTACATGAGATGCTCACGTTTCGTACAGTCTTCTTCATAAAAACAGGGGTGATTGTGCTCCGGATTTCCGGAATTTTCGCTAACAGCATACTTGCCAACTTTCACTCTTTCCGAGAATGGATTTTCAGAGTGGTTGTAAAACAATCAACGAAAAACAATCTGACTCAAAAATATATTTATGTTTTGATCCCGTTGAAATTCGCTTGCGCATNTCACGTTTCATACAGTCTTCTTCACAAAAAGTAATATTCTTAATCATTTTTTATTTTGTCAAACCCTCCAGCATGTATAAAAAAAGAAGCAAAATTAATAAAAAAGGAAGTGGTTTGCGTGGAAGTAAGAGTAGTGGAAAGGCTTCCAATATAAATATTTCAAGCAATTGATGGATATTGAAATACTTTTTAAAGGTTTTTGATTCAAATTCATTTGAAATTCACAAGAGCACCATCACGTGAAGCAAACACAGGTGCAGCTATCTTGCACTTAGTCGCAAAATATCGTATTTAAAGTTCCAACACTCTGGATCTGCCGCTTAGGCTCTTTTCGCGAACATTCAGGTGCGTAAGTTAGGCAAGGCCTGTTCTGAATTTCAGCTAGTACAAGGGGTTAATACTCTATAAATGTTTTAAATGATTTGGTAAAAAAATATTAAATTAAAATATAGTTCAAATTTATAAACATGGGATCCTTAACAATAACAATATAGCTTAAAGATTCACAATTATGAAAGAAATAATTATATTAAGCATATATTATCACAGTGAAAAAGAATAGAGGTTTAAATATAAAAATATCTAATAACTAGGCAGATAATTTTCTAAATAAAGATTTTACATGGCAAATTCTATTAGATTTACTATTTTCTTATTTGTATAAAAAACATGCTTGATAATACATAAATACTGTGAAAATTTAATCAGGCACTTATTTATTCAAACTAACAAGCAACTAAACATATGTAGGGCATTACTTTTTTTAATTGAAAAGTTAGAGTATACTTGAAATGCAAAGTGTAATATCTGTGATGAATAAAAATTTATACTTCAGAAAAGGAAATTTTTTTTTTATAAAAACGTGTTCATAATTATTAAAATATAAAATTACAAAATTTTATCCCATTTATTTATATTTTGTTTGGCGACAGTAAATAAAAATGCTATGCCAATAATTTGGTGGCTTTAATCCATCAAAGATAAAGTTGATTCATATTAGTGAATTGGTTGCATTGGAAATTTTTAATTATCTGAATGTTTCATTATTATATCAGCAGTTACATTAATGAATTAACTCTCAAATTTATTAAATTTAAAAAGGAAGAGATAAACTGTAATTTTTAAAAATGTTTATGAAAATAATTTTAAGCCTGCTTTTTTGTTCAATTTTTGAAGAGTAACTATAACAAAAGCTGATTTTTTTTATTGTAAAGTTAAAGTAAGATTTCATTTTGTACAATAATGAAATGTGCTATTTATTATTTAAACTATTTTTAAGCATGTTAATTATATAAACTATTTATTTAAAATAATTCACGGAAACAAACTTTTTAAGCATGTTAGAACTAATAAAAAGTAATAAGTTTTCATGATCAATTATATAATTTTAAATCTATCGAGTTTTTTTAATTTGAGAAAAATTTCTACTTTTCCTTAAAATGTTTGAAAGAATATTCTGGAATATAATAATAATTGATTATCAATAATTGAAAATTTCTATTGATGCTGATTTCTTTTTATTAATAATTATTTTTTAAAAAAAATCATTGATTTTATTAACATATCGACATTGACTTAAAATTAAGGAGGGGAAAAGTAACATTTTTTAGCTGCATGTTAAAAGTTTTTTGGGACTTCCAAGAAAAGTAAAATTTAAAAAAAAAAAATAAAGATAAATTTCATTCAATGCTAATAAAAATGAAGAACACGAGAAGAATAGTTTCTATTCATAAAGTCAAAATTGATTCAAATAAAAAATTTTGCGTGCAGAAAAGAAGGGTTTTTATGCTGTAAGACCCTTCTTCACTGTGTAATAACTCTCGGAAAGAATCGATTTTACACGTTATTGATTTGTCAAAAATTAGTAATCCTCAAAATGCAACAGATGGCGATCCACTGGTCATTTTTGCTAAAACTGGACACAAACCATTCTTCCCCCTTGGTCTTCAAATAGTACAGAATTTTAAAAGGCAAACTATTCAAATCTAAAAATCTTTAGTTAAAAAAAAAAAAGCATTTAAATTCAAATCTTGTAAGGAAAGATAGACAGGAAACAATGTAATAAGTTCAAATTAAAATAATTAAGACATGCTTAGTGTTTCAATATTACAAACATTCATCATAAGTGTGAGCACACGGGAAACACACAAATATAAAAAAATAAGGTACACAAGTGTTACAATTCCATAAATATTGTCAAAACAGATAATTTCCCTGTCTTTGCACTTATCAGGATAATTTATGGTCACTGAGATAGCTGTATGCCTTAATGGCTTTAACTTGAGCTCATTTCACGGTTCCTAAAATTACTTCTAGAAGTACTTCTAAAGATATAGAAACTTCCTCTCTTTAATTTGAATTAATATCTGAGGTTCATAATAAATATTTTCTTGCATCTTGGGTTTAATATTCAGTTTAAGCACAACATAAGGCTGAGTTGATATGGATAAAAATTATTTGACATTTTTTTCCGGAATTGCAACTTCTTTCTGAAAAATAAAGAAAAAAACTATAATTGAAAATGAAAAAACACTTAATTTATAGAAAATTTTATAACATAATGATTTTTTTTTTGGTCATTATTCAAGGTAAAATCAAAATGGGCACAGCAGGTTAGGGGGTGGATCCTAGAATAGCCCACCTCTTGGTGACTTTTTTAAATCTCGCTAGGTTTCCGGAAGATATTTCGGGGAAGTTATTTTGAATGTCCAATCACACCACCAAAATTCTTAAACCTGATTGGTTATTTGATATGTATGCCTCAAGAAAGTGGGATTTCATAAGAAACGAGCTAAAAAGGTTAATTTTTTCGCTATTTATGCTTCTGATCTCTTGTTGTTAGAATCATCATTATTATTTCATTTTTGAACCATTATTTCATTTATTACTGTTATTATTTCATTTTTTTGTGAGGTACCAGTTGAAAATAACGAGCGAATAATTTAAATTGTTTCTTTTTAATAATCAAAAAGCAATGTTGATCCCAGTAATGATTGCTAACTTGGCGAGATTTCACAAAGTCGCCAATAGGTGGACTTTTCTAGGATTTTACCCAGGTTAGGCCTTTTAGAGCAAAAAAATGGTTAAAATTATTTTTTAAAGAAAGTAAATAGTTTTAGAAAGCTATTGCTTTAAAAAACTGTTTAAAATTTTAATACCTTGGAAGATATTAAAATTATAATAACTTTGAAAAGCGTGAAATCGTAAGTTTTGATGTTGCTAATTCTACACGGTCTAGCACATGCAATATCTAGTTTAAAAAAAAAAGACCTTTCTGTCAAATTCAAAGATCATAAATCTTAAATGGCCACTAAAAATTTAAGAGGTGGCACAGTAAAAATGCAGTTTTAAATTGCATATCACCATCTGATTCTTCAGCAGTTGTATATAAGTGATAATATAGTCTCAAATTCTTTAATTTTCTCATACTATTTAAATTATTTTAATATTTTTTGTCTGAATAGAAAATTAAGACTTTCTTGACTCCAATAGCTATCTATTTGTTTAGTAAAAAGTATAGGAGTAGATTTTTGAAACATACATAATGGGCATATAGAAAATTTGCAACGTTCCTATTCTGAAATTTGATTTGTTTCACTAAAGGGGTTGTTTTTTGTAATGTTTTTCTAATACATGGGCTTGAAGCCTGGAATTACTCTCTGTTTATTAGTTTAACATATATTCAATTCAATATTTTAAAATGGAAGTGTTATAAATTATATGAGCATATAACAAGGGAGAAAGTTTACAATTTACCAATACTTTACTGAAAGAGGAAACAATAATATGAACTGTGCTCACCTATCAACACTAAAATACTTTTCAGAAAAGATCCCTGAATTAAGAAAATTTATTGAAAATGCAAATTATTGATAATTATAGGAGAACTTAATTTTTGAAAAAATAAAATAAATTCTTGCATAAGAAAAAAGGAATAACATCTCTTAAGCACTGGGTTGGGGATCTTGGTTTAACTAACCAATCAGAAACAGGGTGTGTAGCCAAATCTTTCAACAAAAAATAAGTACGTTTTAAGCACTTAAAAAATATTTTTAAGTACTTATATACATTAACGAAATGCAAAATAATTTTCAAAGACTTTACATGATCATGAAAATAACTAGTATCTGACAAAGAATTATTTTCTTGATTATATTAGCCACGATAAAAAGATTGAGATTTTTCGGTTCAATTTCAGAGGGTGGAAAATGAAGTCTGAAATTGAGAATATCTTGCAAAATGCAGCAGAGTTGCACATGATAGTGCAAGAATAATTCCCATTGAATCCAGCTCAGTATATCCACATACCGGCCCACAAGCATTTCATCAAACATGCAAAATGATTGGCACTTTCATACACTACAGAAAAACGGTAAGCCAAAATGCATTGTGCTAGAATGATTTGTGAAAACGTTGAATAGAACAATGTGAAAACTACGCTTTTGCATAATACACTCTGAAAATCAACATGGTAAAGAAGAAAAAAAATTCTAATTTTTGAAAAGGGAAAATCAAGCACTTTTTAAAAACATCCAATAAAAAAAACCCATTTAAGGGCTTTTAAAAATCGAAAATAAGCACCTTTAAAAAACGCTACACACCCTGAGAAAGGTAAAAGAGCATTATTTCATACAAATTTTTAATGATATTAAAATATATACCTGTTTGACTTTGGTACTTTCCATAATATTTCTCAACAAAAACTTATCTACAATAGATTCTTCTAAGTTTGGAAGACTGCTCAAGGTTTCACTATTCTGGCTACTAGAATCACTTGAAATATACAATGGAGGCAGATTAATGTCAGACAATTTTGTTACATTATTCCTATCAGAAGTATTTTCTTTTATTTGAGGCAAGTATGATCCATCTACCGCAGTAAAAGTTTCAATAGCACTTGTGGCTGGCCTCCTGGAAACCTCATAGTCTAATTTTTGAGAGGTTGAAAATAAGTTCTCTGCTGACTTCGGTGGATTCTCCCCATAATTAAATTTACCTTTAAGTAATGGCTTGTCACTGGAACAATCCATACTATTAAATCTCGAAATATTTAACGAGTTTGTCAGAGAGTTTAAGAAATGATACGAGTTTTCACTTTTATTTTTCTGTAACTGTAATTGAAGTCTTTTTTCGAACTGTAAGACATTAGTTATGGTGCTGCTATTTACTTTGGATGTGCAAGGCTTTTCTATACAATAATTAAACACAGAAGTTTCTGAAACTTTTCCAGATGTACACGGTCCTTCCTCTGCTCTGTAGTAAAGGGAAGGTGGCGTGACTTGAGTTTCGTGCTGAGCCCATGGCGAATCTTTACTAAGGGCTTGTTGTTGACTATTGTCGTTACCATCACCATTTCCATTTACATCTGGCACGGTTTTAAACAAGCTTTCACTGATTTTGCTGAATCCAGAGAATTTTGATTCTTCACTAGAGCATGTAGTAGAACTTGTATCAGAATTTACTCCTGAACTGGTAGTACGTTTTCTTCTACATCTACAGTCATGTGATGAACTGCTAAAAGGTTATTAATAAAAATTATTTTTTCGAAATAAAAATAACCTCATGGTTTCTGTAAAATGCAAGAAATATTCTGCTCATCTGAGCAGTTTTGAACATGTTAATATATAGTAATTTGGGTATCTTAGTAAGAATTTAATTTGTTAATATTATTCTTACTTTTAAATTTTATTTACATTTATGCCTAGAGCATAAATGTAAATTTTGTGATCTAGGCTAATTTTACAGATAAATTGTTAAGTTAACCATGCAAGATTAACTTCGTTTTCACATAATACAAAAAATATTATTCTGCTTAAAATATATATTATAGAAATGTTATGTATATGTTTCACAAAACTGATAAGAACATGAATCTTTCTAATTAATTTCCAACATGAAATTTACTTACTAACATTAATTACATTTATACATAGAGTATAAATGTAAATTGTGTGATATAGGCTAATTTTACAAATAAATTGTAAAGTTAACCTTGCAAATTAACTTAGTTTTCATGTAATACAAATATGCATATATTTTACATAACTCATTTAAATTTAAAGACTTTAAATTATTTGCATTTTTAAAAAAAAAAATTTTCGCACATTTAAATTAACATAGAGTACAATTCCAATTCTGTAAACCTTGCAGCAATGAAAACATTATTTATTAATAGTTTTAAAAATTACAACTATAACTATAAAGAGATATTAGAGTTTATCTAAGAAAATTATTTTATGAGTTGTGATGGTTAAGAGTTCATTTAGTTATATTCTATATATGACAATATTTTTTCCTGGAATGAAAATGTCAACACTGTTATAAGAAAAGAGTTTGTTATAAAATATAAATACTTTGGATAGATGAACTTTTTTGAAATGCGAGTAACTTTATTTGTAGAAATAAGTCTCACTACTTATAAGTATGGCAAAAATATATTGAAATAGCAACTGTAAAGGTAAAGAATAAAATTATAAGGAAACAATTAAGTTAGCTTACTTAATATATAAAACAAAAACAGAGTGAATAAGGTTTAATTTTAAAAACAAGTTAAAAAAATTATGATTTTCAAGAGTTTATATTTTTAAATTCACTAAATTAGTATCCAGATTTTAGTTTATATAACATAAACATTTGCCAGTTATCTTTTTTAAAATTAATTTCAAAAAAATAAGTTTATTTGTAAAACTACCAAGGGTTAAACATGAGTAAAGAAAGAAAAAAAAGAGATATGCTTTTATTGATGCATAAATAAATTTTTAAAAAAGAAGTTTATTAATAGTTCTAAAAGGAAACAATTTTTTTCTCATGTATATCGGTCATTCTAAGTAAATTCAACTAGGAATCTATTTTAAAATAAAGAACAGCAGAACTGATTAAAATTACTGGGTTAAAACATTTAAAAATATGTCAGCTAACTTTTAAAAAGGAAATTTTAATTCTACTAAATATTAAACTATTCTTTTCATATATTTTGTAGAAATAATGTATTTTCATTCACACATCATCATCAATCGCTGGTCAGAACTATAGCTATTACATCATAAATAAATGGAATTTGAATAGGAACATTTTAAGAATGTTGGACATTTATTTACTTAATAGCAATAAAAAAAACTTGATCAAAATATAATACAACAACAACTATTAAAGAACTTTCGAAAAAACTATGCATTTACAAAATATAATTTAATGGAGTTAAGTTTTTTTTTTTGTTGGATGCATTATAAAGGGATTAGAATAACATAAAATAATACCATCATACAAACTTGACTTATTTTAGAGATCAACATACAAGATAGACTGATGGGTGGTGATATTACAAGTTTTGTTCCTTTTATTATATGAGATAAATTTGGTTCTCGTTAATAGTGGTCAAATTAGACAAGATGGTCAACTGACAAGTGTGGTCATCTTGACAGGTTTCACGATACTGATATATTTGCAAAGCAATGAATAAAAACAGCAAAAATAATACATTAACAATTTCTAACAGTACAATAACAGAATAAAAACAGTACATTGTAAAAACAATAATGGTATGTATATAAAATTTAATACCTATCAGAAGAATCTTTGAGGAAAAGTAAGATGTGCTTGCGAATATAATCATTCAACAATAGTGTGGTGGCACTTGGACGTTTATCTGGTTCTACATTAAGCATCGAGGATATAAGGCAAAATAGTTCTGATGAATAATTTTCAGCTATTGAAGATATCTATAAAATGAATAGAAATATCAACAGGTATGATGTTATAATGATAACTATTAGAAAGAAAGGATTACAAACAAAAATTCTATGTCTGTAAAGTTATTATACATAAAAATTGCCATAACAAAGGAAAATATCAAAAATTTTGATAATTAAAATAAATGTTCTAAAGCATTCTGAAGAATAAATGCTTACTTGTAAGAAAAATTAAACAAAAAATATTAAATTAGAATAATATTAATTTATCATAAGTAGGTATCAAACATAAGTTCTACTATAATCAAATTTTAAAACAATTTTTAGTATTCCAAATTTACCTCACATTTTATGACTAAAATACAACGATAAAACTTTACTCATTAAACCTTTTTCTAAAAACACTTGTAGCAGAAATCAAATTCTATAAATGTGTATTCCTTTTTAATTTGCTTTAACATTGATACAAAAATTCAAGACCATAATAGCTTTATCATAATTAGTAACATTCTTTAAGGTTTATTTTCTACCAAATAATTTTCAATGCAACAATCTTTTTTCACAGTAATTAGCTTGGTTTTTATAAATAGCCAAATAATGAATCTCTGTGCTGAGTGGTAACTGCTTTCTCTACACTCTTTAATAAAATGTTCATCTTATATGTCCTTCAGATCCTGTTTCTTGTTATCAAAATTCAATCATTCAATCTTGTAATCAAAAAATTATATGAATTATAATAATATCTTTTAGAACATAAATAAATATGAAATTATTTATTAAGGTTCAAAGGTAGGTACTTTATTTATGTCGCACTAGAGCCGCACAATGGGCTGTTGGCGACGGTTTGGGAAACATCCCGGAGGATGATCCCTAGACATGCCATCGCAATTTTGATGCCCTGCAGAAGGGATGACTCCCCTGCTCTGGTAGCCTGGTGACCGGAGCGCAAAGTAGAGCACTTTACGGTAGAATAGTTTAAGCAGGACTGATACCGCATATCCTCAGTCCCTATGCAGGTTGATCAAAGTGGTCACCCACCCGCTTATTGACCGCAGCCAGTGGTGATTGACTTCAGTGTTCTACTGGGAAAGGTGTCTTTTTGATCAGTCCACTGCGGGACTATTTATGTTAAAAAAGAAGCAAATAAATCTGTAACATACTTTAGAAGTTCTCTCATGGTAACATATTGTGTTAACTAAGACTTACATAGATGTTTCCATAAAATGAAAATAATTTAATTCAAAGATGTGCTCTAGTATCTCAAATCAACATTAAATGAATAATTTACAACAAGAAAAATGCAGAAAAAATTTTCTTGCTTTCAAAAAAAGAAATAAATTTTACTTTTGTATTTATAATTTGGTGCATCGACGAAGAAATGTCTTGCATAGTAAAAGCATAGTTCAGGGTAGCCAATTCATATCCACAGCAGCCTAGAGACCAGACATCTGACTGTAATAACATTTATGTGAAAATAATTAATTTCATTATCAAAATAAAATTTTAGACACAATAATTTTAATATCTGACAATTTAATTTTCATTAAAAGCTTATACAATTATTGTAACACAAATTATAAGACTTAAGGAAAAAAGATAGGAGAAACACAGCCATCATGGAAGATGAAAAAATATATTTTAAATGTTTATTACAGGTATATTTCCCGAAATGACCAAAAAATCCATGTGCATTCAGTAATAAAACCTAAAAACTAACTTAAAGTAGTAAAAAAACTACACATAACTTTTAATACCTAAAATTTATGAAATCCCAAAACAATGTCTTGCAACCTGACGTATCTATTTGCTTTTTATAAAAGTATTTCCTCTTAATATATTTTGAAATTAATAAAAAATTTATTCAATGGAAATGAATTTTACTTTTGCAAATATAGGCTACAGATAAAAGAAAACAAAAGTGAAATTATTTGACAAAAACTTGTAATCTTCAATGGCAGCAAATAAATTCAAGATAAAAAAAAAATGTCTACAAGATAAATCAACAGTTTGCCTTGGTGTTATTTGAGAGTACACAGTAATGATTTATTAAAAAGCTATTTAATGCAAAGCAAAAAAAAACATTTATAATCTTTATATTCTTTTTTCTTCTTTAAAACCATATTAATAATTGTTACCAAATACAAATGAAAACAAATTGCAACAATTTAACTTAATAAGCCATAATAAACAATTGGTTAATGCTAACAAGATCACAAATAAAATAAAACAATAAAAATAGTTACAAAAATAGACACATTTAGTCAAATAAAATGTTATGTTTAGTTAAATAACACATTATGTAAGAATGTACTTTCCTCTTTTCAATTGCATTTTTTGAAACTTATACATTAAAAATAATAAGCTAAAACATTATATAAGAAAGTTAAAAAAATTACCATACATTCTTAAAAAATATATACTCTTCAACATAACTTCGATTTTTCAACTTTAATGACAGACAAATGAAGTCCCATTTGCAATTTCATAGACTCGATGCTATTTAAACATCCATTATAACAACTGAACTATATCATTCATTGCAATATAGTGATCAGAATTATTTTTTAAACTTCTAGTTTCTGGAAATCACTTTCAAACCAGGTGTTAAAAATTTTTGCACTATCAAAACAAATATTTTTTCATTGACAATGAGTAAATTCTTAGCAAGTCTCGAAAAAATTATTCAAATTAGCTACTATTCCTCTTTAATCCTCATTTATTCCTCAGTAAATGTGAAACATCTTGAATTCCCTATAAATGAAGAAATAGTGAAAGGACCATACATTCTTATTCTAAGTAGTCTCAAGTGTAATCTATGGACAAAAAAAAAAATTTAATATGGACCACTTTTCATCACTGACAATTAGAAGTGCGTATTTCATCTTCATGTAAAAATCGGAGTCTTCTTTTGCACTGATAACTTTTGATTGAACCCCATGAAACGAAATTTACAATCATATTTTTCTTTTTTGAAAATTTTATTCACTCTATTCATTGAAATATGTGATCTCTTTTAAAGTTATGGTGTTTACATTTTTCTTAATTTATTTTTTTTATTAGACTTTGCAGATCTCTGAAAGCAAGTTATTTAACAAAAAAGACAGCTGTTTACCAATACAAACTTACATGTTCAAAACAGAAAATAAAAATACAGGAGGAAATGGACTATGAGTAACGAATTGTATACTATAATTAAAATTCATGAACTAAACACTAAGGACAAGGTGTTTTAATTTCACACCCATTCCTTTGATGCATAATAAAAAAGATTCTAAGGCATAATAATAAAAGATGTCATTAAAAAATTTTTATTTTTAGTTTTAAACTTTTACTATATTGCATCTTTAGTTGCAGCAAATAGCATGTTATAAGTTGAAAAACTACTGTAGTTCACTTTAATTTGTCTACTGTTTTTCTTTAATTTTGAGCTCCATATTTTTTTTAAAAATTAAGCATTTTTATCATTTATCATAATTAATTTTACTTAAGTAATTTATGATGCTTAATATATAATTGCTAGCCTGTATCACTATAGAATAAAATAGTGAATAAATGGAAATACATCAACTCCTTCCTCATCAATTAATGGGAAATTCATCAACTTTTCCAATTAACAAATTTCCTTGACATCTGTATTACTTTTTCAAATACTTTCAGAAAAAACTTTCATCAAAATAGCATTTTCAAAAATATCTTGTGAATAATGAAAAATAATCATAACTGAGAATTAAACACATAATTCTGTGTAATATGACAATTTAGCATTAAAAGAAATCCAAATAAAAAAACATAAACATTCATATTAACTTTCCGTCAAAATAAAGTTTGCTTTACAAATCAATGTAATAAAAAATCTATCTGAAATTTATGTATAAAAATTGCTTTCAATTTATTCAAAATTAACAAATGAAAAAGTACCTTTTGGGAGAAAGGCTCCCCAAAAAAAACTTCAGGGCTTGTATACGAAGGTGATGAAAATAAAGATGCTGATGCATTTTCAGTTTTAAATAAACGAGATATTCCAAAATCTCCAACTTTAATTAAATTATGCTTTGATAGGAAAATATTCTGGGTTTTGAGATCTCTGTGAAGAATATTTTGGTCATGAAGATACTGTAAAGGAAAGAATTGAAAGAAGTTAAGATACTTTGTTCAAAGAATTTTCTTGAATTAGTCCAACATCAAATAGTAATAGGTATTATGTTAATAAACATAAAGGTTGCTTTTTAAAAGCTCTTTTGCCACATGAAATAATGTTTTCTTGCAAATAATATGCTATTTTCATAACTGCTTTGATTTTGCTTGATTGATTTGTTCATTTACGTCACACTAGAGCTGCACAATGGGCAATTGGCAATGGTCTGGGAAACATCCCTGAGGAAACAACCCTTTGATTTTGCAACTGCTATTTGTGACTGTTAAGACAAGATAATTCTATCTTCAACCAGCGTTTTATGCTAATTCTGAAAATAACTCAAAACGTCAAAATGAAGAAAAATTATGGTTTTGTGAAAATAGCGTTTTTTTTAATATTTATTAAGTTACTTCAATGCTGTTTTGTCTGGGCTCATAAAAGTTTAAAAAAAAACTGAGAATTATTCTTTGGTTTTGATAATTTTCATCTAAGTGAAAAAAATGTTACCAAATTGGAGATTTTAAAAATATTTTAATAGTTTTTAATATATTTAAGTTCTTTGTCGGTTCTAAAGCTCAGATAATTTTTTACAATAAGATATAGTTTAAAATAAGAGTTTTGCTTCAATTAAAAAGCACTTAATATGTGCTTTTTTTTTTATTTGGTGCTAAAAAGCACTAATTCAGTTTACTCGAATTCTTTTTTCCAAAAATAAAAAACTGCATTTTGAGTATATTTAATTCAAAGCAAAGATATTTCGCAAGGTTAAGCTAGAGATATACTAATAACCTTTAATATAGAGAAATAACACAAATATTAAAAGAAATACTTATAATAGCCAAATTGGAAAGATTTGCAATGCAAACCACCTATGCAAAAATCAATGAATGACATCAATGTTTGTATATTTTTATGTGAATAAACAATGCATTTTTAAAAAACTTTTCTAACATTAAAATTCAGGAAATGTTTTAAATGCATACTTAAAAATAAATTGTGGCTTCCCATTTGGGATCATTTTCATTAGATTGCGCTGCTTAATGGACAAAACTTTAGAAAAAAAGAATAACAGTTATAAACTTACAAAAGTGATAAAAATAGCAGATTAGTAAAAACATTATATATGGTATAGTTAATTGAATGGTATAGTTTAATAAATAATTATGCATTTAAAATACAGGAACTAAAATTTTAATAACACAGTTTAAAAAGCAGTGCATAAAATAGGATAACTTTTTTCCACTATTAAGATTCTTAGTTAAAATTACCTTTAATGCCATACAGATTTGAACAATCCAGTTAATTATTTCATCTTCTTTGAAGAGAATTCCATTTCTATTTTTTATTACATCATGCAGACTTCCTTTTTCACAATAACTCATAACAATGAATAAACTTCCTTTACAGTTAAAAAAGGAATCTAAATATGTAACAATGTTTGGATGTTTAATTGTACATAAAAGCTTTGCTTCTGAATGAGCTGCTCGCTGTTCACGTTTAGTGGAATTGTGGAAATCTATTCGCTTCAGTGCATACTGAAAAAAAAATCCTCTAAATATAATAACAGTAATATTTCACAATGCAAATAATTTTAAAGGTTGATATTTATGTTAAACCAATACTATGATACCCAGATTAAAGAATATAAATACAATCAATACTTTAAAGCTATAGAAATTTTGTGAAAAAACTTCCAGTTTTCACAACCAGATATGAAGAGAACTTTCTAAACTACACAAAACTAGTAATAAGGTTCTTATGGGTTGGCTAGTAAATAAAATAATTACCTCTCCCCCACACTTCAAACCATTTAAAAACAATAATTAATAAGCAATCATATTTATCTATTAGATGGGCACTAAACCGAAAATCATGCACCAGTAGACCCGAAAATTTAAACTTTCAATTAGTAGGCATTGGCTGATAGACTTAAGTAGCTACTTTTTGCAAAAATTTTTTTGCTGGGATTAAATTTGTGGCGTAACTACCACTATAATTCCCCACAAATTATATTTTTTAAAAAAATTCTTGTTAGAAATGATTTATGGCTATAAAAAGTTAATTCAACAATAAAAATAGCATAAAAATGTGACAAAATGAAGTTAAATACAATACTATTTTTTAAAGCAAAATAATTAACATGTGTTACATAACAACTTTAAAATACTGTATTGTTACAGAACTCTTCTTCTACATTAATTTTTTCATCTAAAATAGATGCATTCTGAAAGATGAAAATTTTGAATGGAGACATTGTGAAATTTTAAGGAAAATTCTGTTTTCCAGAGTATTTTTGCATTGATGTACTTTTATCATTAAACGATTTAAAAAAAAAAAAGTAAAAAAGGATGGGACAGGTGACTGGTTGTTTCTTTAATTTAGTTGCAACTCTTTTCGCTGACTTGTCATGTGGCGAGTGGTTATTTTCAGGTCCACAGTACCCAAAATAGTCCCCATGTTTATAAAATAGAAGTCAGTGAGTTAATAATTCAATAAAGTAGTATTGTAATAGATAGTATAAATTGTGTGATAATAAAATGTAATAAAAAATAATAAATTTTTAATAAAATGTAACAGAAAAAAACATTTTTAATAAAATATAACAAAAAAAACTGTAATAGTAACTGTAAAAAACAACTGTAATAAATTTTTAATAAAATGTAATAAAAACACGAAATTCCACAGTCTGTATATCAGAGATAGTAGCAAGGCCGTAACTATGCACCGGGGCATAGTCCTTAGGACCCGACGTTCAAGTGGCTCCCAAATAAAGGAAATATATATTTTTTCAAAATTAGAGTAATTTAAAATCTATTTATTGTAGTTAAATTTTTTGGTTGTTATTAAACATTTTATTAATTTTAAAATCTATTTATTGTAGTTAAATTTTGTTGCTATTAAGCATTTTATTAATTAAGATCATGGCTCTTGCCATTAATTTAAGTAAATTTTTCTTCCCCCCCCCCCTGTATGTATAAATATGTCTAGTTTAAACAAATTAAAAAAATGTTTACATTATTTAATTATTTGTGGTTTTCGATTTCAAAAATTTAAGAGTTATTAAATATGCAATTGTTAAATTTTAAACTTGTAAAACTAATTATTCGCAACGGCTTTGTATTTAATCTGAGCTGTCTTTGTGAAGTACAGGGTTTATTGAAATTTGACGCTCAGCATCCAGGTTAGTTAAATTGAGATATTTTACCTAATGTTACCACAAATTTTTATTACTGTATGTTTAAATTCATGAAGTTAAAACAAAGTTAAATATTTCTAAATCGAAATTATTTTGAAAAAAAGAATATAAATAGCATTGTGTTCAGTGAGTAAAACAAACAAAATGGGATCAACTTGGAAGGTAATTAATTTTGTCTCAAAGTACAGAACATTTTGTCTGCTGTAGTTTTGTTTTTCACAGCAATAGTAGTTAGCCCAAATACAAATCAAAACGAAGATATCCCCATCAATTGTTCCGGGCAAAATTGGTTTTGCATTGACAAATTTAGTAGGCATAATATCGAAATATCTCTAAATCCAATAATTTGAATTAACTATTTCGTTCAATTAATATAGAAAATTAAAAGGCTTCTAATTATGAAACTTGTATTAAAACTGAAGTTTTTTTCCTATGAAAGACATATGCTTATGCACAGGTCCAAAATGCTTTATTTTTATTACATCTCAAAATGGCTAGAAGAAATTTTTAAACAAAACAATTTATAAGTACTCAATCATAAGAAACTAACTTTAAATGAAAAGAAATAGTCTCAATTATTAAAATTTTCAGCCCAAGTCTTGAACATTAGTCAGTACCAATGCTATATTACAGATACAATACCAATGTTCTTACTGCATTTTTTGAAAATTCTAAACATATTGTAAAGTCGTATGCAAACATAAAATACACCAGTGTATAAAAAAGTAGTCGAAGAAATTTTAATTAAATATTCGTACAAATAAAAATATTAAATATGTAAAAATAAAACGGATATAAAAATAAACGAATCTACATTAACAAAATATTCTGCCTACAAAAAGCATTTTATTTCGACTATATGAACAGAAATGATATTGATAAATATTTTGCCAAGAATTAACTAAACAAAAATAATCAAGTGCAAAGATATTTAATACGACAGAAATCTTTAACAGCTCTCTTGATATGTAAACATTTTCTGCATGTAAAGACATTACGTATTTTATCGATCAATTTTAGCCTTCAAGGCCAAATATAAAATTTAATACACTTATCGAAGTAAATAATAACATAATAGCGTAGTCAATGCAGTTTACATTTCTTTTTGTCTTTGCACCCTTAACAAGCCAAACATCACCATATCTACTTTGACCAATTTGTTTGACGAATTGGTACATCTCCATCTGAATACAGTTTTTTCATTGTGATCGTTTGAATTTTTATTAAATTATATATTTTTTAGGAAATCAATGGCAAACAACAGAAAACAAAAACCAAAACAAATCGACCGGTTGTTTACTGATGCTGCCAAACATGATTTTTAATATTTCAATATTATTTGATTATTAGCTGATAATTAGTTTTTAAGATAAATTTCTTGAAACAGTTATGCAATATGCACTACTGCTAGATTTGAATGAAATAAAGAGTCTCAATTTTCCCATAAAACAATTATTTGATAAGGAAAAATTTTGCTGATCAAATATGATACGCTGATTGGTTCACGACTTTTCTACGCTCGCATTGATAGCGTAAATGCGTCGTAAAAAAAGGCCAAATTCCAATGCAGCGCAGGGCAGCTCTGTGCAACACAGATTAAGCGCACATGCATAAACTGGACTTTTCTCATAAAATATAGGATAAAGGGCATTCTCGTTGCGGTGTCGTAGTTGTTTCATCCTCGGGTCCAGGTTTTCATTTTCCCTCCCCTTCGACTCAAAGCCTCATATGATTCTACTGCTTAGCCCGTAAACNGATCAATCGCAATACCATTTTCGCATGAGTGAGCATTTTGTCTGCAGGGTCAATCTTATGATTTAGCACGTGAAAAAGCGAAAAAAATCACGTCCAAACAAAAACATGTTTAGAAAGTGTTTGGCAGAAATATATTTTCCACCAATCTGCTTTTTATTTGCAGGCGAAAAAAAAAGTCTCAGGTGGTGAATATGGTCCTTAAGGAAGTTAGTGTATGAAATGGGTTAGGAAATAAGTCCCGCAGTGGACTGATCGTTAGGACACGGCTCCCGGCAGATCACCGAAGTCAAGCATCACTGGCTACGGTCAGTGTGCGGGTGGGTGACCACTTGGATCAGTCTGCGTAGGGACCGAGGGTGTGCGGTATTGGTCCTCGTTAAACTGTGCAACCGTAAAGTGCTCGACTTCGAGCGCAGGTCGTCAGGCTACCGAAGCGGGGGTGCCATACCTCCGCAGAGGATCAAAATTGCGATGGCATGTCTTCGGATCATCCTCCGGGATGTTTCCCAGACCGTCGCCAAAAGCCCATTGTGCAGCTCTAGTGCGACGTAAATTAACAACAACAACAACAAGGGATAGGAAATAAAATAGATTTTTTAAAATAAAGAAAAGCTGTATTTGGATCAAATGTCTCTGTTGTCATCAATCGTATTTGTTTTAAAAAAACTTCAGGAATTTTTCGCACTGTATGTAAAATTCACATACGAATAAAATCCTGATTGATGAAATAATCGCAAATCAGGTTCTCAGCCACATGCCAAAGATTCTCCAATCGCTGAATGCGATAAATTCGCCAATCCTATGCATTAAAAATTCGCCCATTAGGTTTTCATCAGTATGGATGGTGTTTCCAATAGAAATGTAAACAATAACAATCTCGAGTTCGGGACCTACTCTAGTTCCGGTTAAAAAGTTTGCAGCTGCTTACTACATGTTATTCTGATAGGCGATGTTTTCAAACGGATAATTTTGTTTTCAATAAAAGAAATAAATTAGATAATTTCTGAGCTCAAATCTGCAGTCTTTCATAAGATGTTAATGTTATTATGTAATTCTGGGGAGTTTGGAGTGAAAATGTGTTTTAGTTATTTTGTTATTTATTATTAAAAAAGGTGACATGGTTGCTAGATTTTGATTAACTCGCTTTTTTGGCAGTCTTGATTAGGCCTCTTTCCATTTGTTTATTACTGTTTGTTCGTGTTGCAAGCTGTGCACCATCTTACGTTAGTGTTAACACTTTTAGTATTGTAAGCACAAGTATTGTTAGCATTGTAAACATAAGTAATAAGTAATCAAATACATTGTTTGCAAGAATCACAAACACAAATGCAAAACACAATGATGCCAAATGGCTTTAAAATACAACTGAAACAGTAACCCGGAAATTTAGGCAGTCCCGAGCTTGCAGCGTTCCCTAGTGTAGAAAACACCATCCATACGATTTTTTTCCGTAGGTAGGTAGGTGCTTTATTTACGTGTTATTGGCGATAGTCTGGGAAATAACCCCGAGGATGATCCGAAGTCACGCCATCATAATTGTGATCCTCTGCTGAGAGGAATTTATTTGTGAGGCCACTTTCTCAATTTAGACATAGATCTGAAGGGGAAGGAAATTTCCTTCAGATCCCTGTGCCAATGGTACTGCTCAGCGACCGACAACAGAACTTTCGATTCCACAGATTGTACGAGCTAGTATATCGCATGTACTCGATGGGTCTTGGCGGAATTGGGGATTGAACCCCGACCCATCCGGTCAGGATTCTATAACCACGGCCCACGATTTTTTGTAAAGAAATTTATAATTATGTTTTTTGCGTAGAAATTTAAAATATTTCGCAGAGAAATTAATATTATTAGGAAACAAAGAAATTTTAACACCCATAGATTTTTTTTAAAATCAGCGAATTTTTTAGTAGTATACCCAAGTAGCGTCATTCACAAAAACGATATCGTAAAAACTTAGCTTTGAACATTGTACAATATCGTAGCGAAACATTGTACTATCTAAAAATAGACCCCTTTCCTAACGTATATTCAATATCGTGAAACAATATTGTTCGATATTGTAAAAACGTTGGGGAACGTCGATCGATATCTCTCAGCATTTCGGATATCTCTAAATTTATATTTTAAATTTATTTTTTGGAATTATAACAATTCGACGTCATTTTTTGTCTTATAAATGATTAATTTTGATTTAAGAACACAATAAAGTTTAAAATGAAAAATTTTACAAACAGACTTTCAATGTGAAATCGATGGGAATCGTACAATATCGCACACACAATGTCGATTTTTGCCAATCTTGACAATGTCGGTCGATGTAGACTAAAGCTGTTACAATATCCCTGTGCTACTTGGGTAGTAGTACTTAATTTACCATGCACTACTATGCACAATGAAGTACTGGCGACGGTATGGGAAACATCCCAGAGGAGGATTCGAAGACATCCCATTTTTCTTGGGTAAATATCTTCAACTAATCCGACTCTAAATCGCATTCAGTGAGAATGGTCCTTACTATATCAGTTTAACGAGGACCGATACCGCATCTTTCTCGGTCGCAGCTTCGCATGCTGGTGAAAGTGGTCTCCGCACTCTCACTGAACGCAGTCAGAAATTTGTTCCTCTTCCCCTACTGTTCAAATAACGTTTTTTTCTTCTTTTTTTTCTAATTGCAACTTGTCTGTCTCTTTATTTTTCTGCGATCATTTCATGTTTAAACACTGAAAAAAGGTTCTTGTTTATAGAACCGAAACTATGGTATATCCATTTCTGTACCGTTATTTGTGCTTTACTCACGTTTTCTTTTCTTTTTTTTTTTGCTTTATAAATACTAACTGTTATTTTCATTTAGCTATGGGATATAAGCGGGAACATAAAATTCTTTCCCAAGTAAATATTTCCTGAAAAAGCAAAATTTCCGCAAAAATAGTATTCTGTGCTGCAGTTTTTTTCCATTCTGGAATACTTATTCATATTTCGAATTGAAATGCATCTTTTAAATCTAATGAGATGTTCAAAGTTGAAAATTCACTTTTTATTTCTCCTCTGTACATTTTCTATAATTATGTCTAAAGAAATTTATTAATTTAAACACATCACATATGTATACTACAAACAAATGTTACATAAGTGGTAGTCAGTTTCTATTTTCTTGTCATTTCAAAATTCATGCATTGTAATTCAATTAAAATTGTTTTGTTTTATAATTAAGAAGTATAATAAATTGTGGAAGAATTTGTGATCACATTTATTACGTAAAAACTATCCTGAAATTCAGTCAACAATAACATTCAATCACATATTGATTCCACAGAAAAACTTACTGTTTATCTTTTTTATTCAAATCTTCTTATAGATCAACAAAATTAATTTTTTTTTTTAAATTTAAAAATAATTAAAGTTAATTTCGCAAAGATTTAACATTATTGGTTGTTAAGATGTACGTATATTATGCTGAGAAAAATGAGTTTAAATTACGATTAAATTGATGAAACCGAGTTTTTTGTACTTAGAGAACTTCAGAAGTATAAATTTTAATTTTATCTAAGTTGTTTCAGAAATTTTTTTTCTTGTTTCTAAAATACCTATTTTAAATTTTTCCATTTTTTCAGAAATATGTGTTTCAAATTAGTTAAAAGTTACAGTAGTTATTTTCTTGAAGTCACAGAAATTGTTGCAAACATTTAAATAAATGTTTAAAAAGATTGAATTTTTTTGTCATTTTTTACCATTAGTCAAAGCTCACTAAATGAATATTGGTTTCTCCAAGTTTTTTAATTGATAAAGGATAATGATAATGATAAGTTTTTTTCCACTTTTGGTTGAAAGAAAAATCAAAATTTAAAATTAAAATAGATTGTTTTTCATTTTACCTTGATATCCCGATATTTCAATGCTATGATCCTCTATCTAATACATCTATTAGATAGATAATTTATCCTCTATCAGTATAGACTAAATTTCCGTGTAGAACCAGATCTTCTTTTTCTTAGAGACCTTTTGCTTCAATGGATGTTCAAGAAAAAAATAATATTAATTTTGTAGAAAAATAATATAAATTTTGCAGAAAAATCAGAAACTTAACATCAATTTTGCTTTATTTTTACGTTTTTATTAGCTTGTTTTCGCGTCTGTGAGGGCGGAGTTCTGCAATCGAAAGTTCGACTACTTTCCAACTGTCTCTCGTGAATCTCCAGTGGATCTTTACAGATCTCTGCTGGATCTCCGTGCTTGGTGACAATCGTTTTTTGACAGTTACAAGCAGAATTTATCGCCATTTTGTCGCCAAACAGAATTAGCCGTGAATTTAAATTCCAAATACT